ATGGTGAAATGGCTCCTCCTATAAAATGTTCTCTCCAAGCCTCTTCCCACCCATTCCTGTGTCCTGCCTGGCCCCTGCATCCCCAAGCACTTTGTGAAGAAACAACTAGATCCTGGGCTCAGGACTGGCCTTACAGTCCCAGGCTCTGGGCCACTCCTGCCACAAGGCCCTGTGAGGTGAGCCCTGCTGGCAAAGGTTCTAGAACTGATCCTCCAAAATGTCATGAAGTACTGAGACTGGGCCAGCTTCGAATGCTCCGTGGCCTAGCAGGCGCTGTCCAGATGCTTGATGAGGGGAGGAGAGAAGGGAAGGAAATGTCTCTGTGTATCTTGCCTGCCGGCTGTCTGCCCCTGGTCACTTCACTTGGGAGGGGCATATCCCTGTCTGCCTTATCCAGAAGTTGCCTACTCCTGTCCCCCTCTCCCAAAACTGGGCACGCTGCTGGCCAGGGACAAACATTCCAGACTTTGCTCCAGTAGACCTGGGCCTCCTGCAGGGCTGTACAAGCCCCCTCCCCAGCCCCTGGTGTGTGCTGGGAGCTGCTGGCAGTCTGGTGGTTGTTCAGTTACTTCTTGGCCCAGGTTGTGTCCAGAACATTCCTGGCACTGAGCTGGCAACTTCCCCGGGACAGACGCAGCCGGCAGAGCCGAGGTTGGCCCGGGCAGTCACTGTGGTGCTTTTATTCCTAGCCTGTTTGCCCAGGAAGCAGACCTGCCAAGGTGCCCGCTGAATTGTCTCGCCCTCAGTTTGCTCATCTAGGTGCCATCAGAGGCTTTGTCCCTACTCTAAGTTCATGACAACCTTGAAGAAGAAATGGTCAGGCCTGGGACACAGACTAAGGGACAGAGGTGCTAGGTGCCAGATCCTGGTGCCCAGAAGTGTCGAAGTTGCACTGAGGGCTCTGGTGCCAGTAAGAAGGGCTGCAGGGGACACCTCCACGCTCCTCCCAGAGCAGATGCACACATACCCTGCACTGCTCCCTGCCTCCAATCTGTGCTCGCTCTGCAGCAACACAGTCCCCATTTGAAGTAGGCAGCTGTAGATAGCCACCAGGTGGGGTGAGGAGGGACACAGCCCCCCAGGTGAGATGGGCAGGTGTGGATAGACCCCAGATGGGGTGGGTAGGTGTAGACTGCCCAGGTTAGGTGAATAGGGACACAGCCCCCCAGTGACCTAGATAGATGCAGACAACCTCCAAGAAAACTGGACAGGAATAGACAGTCCCCAGGTGATGTGGACAGATGTAGATCACCCCCAAGTAAGGTGGGCAGGTACAGAGAGTCTCAAGTGAGGTGGAGAGTAAACAGGGAATTGGCTCCCCAGGTGAACTAGACAGGCCCTAGGTGAGAGGGGTGGCCATGGAGCCACCAGGTGAGCTGGGCAGGTGCAAATAGCACACATCACAAGAATTCACTGGGAGGCACAGTCATCCACAAATACCATAGGTGACCAGAAATATAGAAAGGAGATACCAGTTTTGTGATTCTGCCAAGAATGGAGGGCCTCATCCTCAACATAAGAAAATACTGATGGGGCTCATGCCTGTCATCCCAGCACTTTGGGAAGCTAAGGAGGGAGGATCACATGAGGCTAAGAGTTTGAGACCAGCCTGGGCAACATGGCAAAACCCC